CCCTACACACATACACCACTGTAAATATAGCTATGAAACCTGGTCAAACTGTTTGAATACAGTGCCATTCAAAAGTTTAGGGTCATTAAGATTTTTTTTTTGTTTTTTTTTGAAGGAAGTCTCTTATGCTTATCAATGCTACTATTTATTTGACCAAAAATACAGTAAAAACTATACTGTGAAAATACTATTGGGAAAAAATATAATAGTAATATTATATATTTTATAATGTAATTTATTCCTGTGATGCAAAGCTGAATTTTCAGCAGTTATTACACCCTCAGTGTCACATGATCCTTCAGAAACCATTCTAATATGCTGATTTGGTGCTCAAGAAACATTTCTTATTATTATCAATGTTGAAAACAGTTTTGTTGTTTTTGTGGAAACCATGATATATTTTCCAGGATTATTTAATGAATATAAAGTTCAAAGGAACAGTATTTATATGAAATAAAAATCTTTTGTAACATTATAAATGTCTTTACTGTCTCTTTTTTATAAATATAATGCTTCCTTGCTGAATAAAAGTATGGTTTTACTTTATTTTGATGGTCCCTTTAACACATTCTGTTGACTATAAGTAAAGTTGCACCTACATGTCTACTAACTCTCATTAGAGTATTAGTAGAGTATTAGTAGACTGGTAGGGTTAGGGTTAGAATATGTTGACATGTACTTGCAAAGTTACTTATAGTCAGTAGAATGTCTGTTGGGAGACCATGACAATAAAGAGTTAGCAGATATTAAGCAAACAGTCTACTAATACTCTGATGAGAGTTAGTAGACATGTAGGTGCAATATTACTTATTGTCAACAGAATGTTCAAAAGGGACCATCAAAATAAAGTGTTACCAAAAGTATTAATTTCCTTTAAAAAAAAGTACCCTAACTTTTGAGCGGTAGTGTATATCCTGTATATTCTATAGCCACATATGCTCACCTGACTTCCTGTAGCAGCCCGTCTCTCTAATGAATACACATACACACTTATTTACATACATTGTAGGCATTAATAATGCTATACAATGTGTCAGTGAGTGTGTGTGTGTTGCTGTGTGACATGTATTATATGTATGCCGGTGTGTATGGGTGACTTACAGCGCACGGAGAAGCAGAGAAGTGTAACTGAAGCCCGAAACCTAATCACACACACAGTGCGTTGCTCATTAAAGTTGAATATGGACTTCAATACTGAAAATATGGCTGGCATGACCCTTCAGATGAATGTAAGAGAGATACAACATTGTTAATAAAAGTTACACACATGTTCTGAGCTTCATATGAACCAACAAGGCAGTTTGGTAGTTTTGATACAGACCTGGACAATAATTTCTACCTGTAAACATAATACTATTTCTGTCTAGACGATTTACCTCTGACACTTTCAGAAGTGACTGTGCAAGTGTATATAGTCACTAACACAGACAAAAACAACTATCACACATGTGGCAATTAAGAGTTATAAGTGCTGCGGAGTTGCAAGAGGAAGTGAGAAAAGAGTGACAAAGAGATTCAAAATTGGATCCAGAAAACAGCAAATGGTCACATACCTGCACTACAAGCTGACAGTCTGTTGTTGGCTGTAGTACTCGTGAGTGGACAGCTCCTTGTGCACTTTCCTCCCTGGGCGACGTTTCATTTGTAGTACATTAGTCGTCCTGATCTCCACATCCTTCTGCATGTGCCTAATTCCTCCCTTAACACCCCGTTTTCCCTTCTGATGAACACTAATAACTGCCTTGCTAAAAATACACACTTAAAGGGAAGGCATCTCTCACCTCTCTGGCTGCGCCTGCATCTGCTTCGGCAGAAAGCACACCCCCTTTAATTCACACACACACCTCTAATCAGCTTTCTAATGAGCCATCAGCCAATCACAGGGTCTGGGATAAGACACACTCACAGAATAAGACAGGGGAACATGCACTTACAAGCACATGTGCATGTACTAAGGTCAAAGCCACACTGAAAATCTGGGAATCTAAACATAATTTAAAGATGTAAATTAAGTTTATTTGAGTGAAGAAACGTTAAGTAAAATGACTAAAGAAAAAATTAATACAGTAATATATGTATATATATTGTGTATATGTAAATGTATTGTATATATGTACAATGTGTCATTAGGCTCAAATTGGTATGCTGAAAATCAACATTTTAATTACTTTAAAGTTATATTAAATCATACAGTATAAAAAATCTTTTCACTTAAGTTCTCAGACATATTTAGCAAAAATAAACAATGAACAAAACACTATATATATATATATATATATACAAACATACATACATACACACACGTGTGTATATATATATATATATATATATATATATATATATACAAACACGCACACAGTATATGTAGAAATATATTAAAAATATTGAAATATATAATTCAATGGTAGCAAATTAATAATCGTTGCATTTTTTAAAAATAGTTTACACAATATGTACCAAAAAAAGTTTACACAATATGTTTACACACTTGTAAGTGAAATTTTAAACTGCAAAAATAATGCCAA